ACTATAAAGAATGATATTTTAAAGATTTTCAAAGAGAAAAAGGCAAAAACAATATCCAAGTTGAAAGCTAATGAAGGGAGAATTGCTATCACAATTGATATGTGGACTGTTGATCACCAAAAAAGAGGATACATGGCTATCACTGTTCGTTACATCGATAATCAATGAAACTTATAAAAATGCATCATCAGGTATATTTTATTAAATTATCTTATTTTGATAGTTTTTATTTTTATTAAATAATTATTACTATTGAATTAATTATTAAATTAGTGTAAATAATTGATTGTTTAATTAGGTTTGAATATGTGCCAACTTCACATACGAAAGAGGTTATTACTTTAAGTTTGATGAGATATTTCTTAGATTGGAATATTGATAGAAAATTTTCATCTATTACAATGTATAATTGTAGTGTGAATGATGGTGTTATTGAGTTGTTAATTGATAGAATTGGTTGTGATGCACTTTTGCTTAATGGAGTTTTTTTTCATATGCGTTGCTGTGCACACATCTTGCATTTAATTGTGAAAATGGATTGAGTGTGATTAGTGATGAAATTAAAAGAATTCGTGATAGTGTCTTTTTTTGAGGTGCTACACTAAAGAGGTGGAAAAAATTTGAAGAGACAACACGTCAATTACGTATTCCAACTTTAAAAAAGGTTGTGTGTTGATGTCAAAACACGATGAAACTCTACTTACTTGATGCTTTGAATAGCTTTATTTTATAAAGATATTTTTTTCTCGTTGTGTGCAATTACATGGTATCCTTTGTATAAATATTTACCAACTGAAAATGATTGGATCATTACAATTGAGATTTGTGAGAAGTTGAAATTGTTTTATGATATCACTGAAGGGTTTTCTGGCATAAAATATGCTACTGTAAATCTTTATTTTCCTAATATTGGCAAAATTAGATTGGCATTGAATGAATGGATTATGCATTCCACTAGAATTATTTCATGTATGGCTGTGAGCATGTTAGGTAAATTTGAAAAATATTGAAATGATGTGTATGGTATAATGGGTGTTAGATCCAAGGTATAAAATAGAGTTGTTGGAGTATTACTTTGAAAAGATTTATGAAAAAAATGCTGAATTTGAAATTGAAAGGATTGTGCAAATATGTTGGGATTTACTTAAGGAGTATGATGAGAAATTAGCTTTGGAAAAGGAAGAAAGACCTTCTATTTCAAGCTTTTCATCTTTAGATGGTGTTAGTGTTACTGAATTGGAAAATTTGGGAGACTATGATGATTTTGTTTCAAGGAAAAAAAAAGAACAAATCAAAAGTAAAATCAGAGTTAGATCGTTACTTGGATGAAGAAGTCATACCAAGAAAAAGAAATTTTGATATATTGAATTAGTGGAAACTAATTGGACCTCAATTTACGATCTTACAACTTATTGTTAGAGATATTTATGCCATACTAGTTTTTACTGTTGCTTTAGAGTCTACTTTTAGTATTGGATTGAGGTTGGTAAGTGTGCAACGCAATAGATTTTATCCATCAACTATAAAAGCTTTAACATATTGTCAAAATTGGTTATGGGCTGAAGAAGATACAATAATGCATATTATATAATTTTATTTTTTATTTAAACATATTGTTAGTTATTATATTTTGTTGTTATATATTATTTGTTAATATTTTATTATTTCATTTGTAAGATCAATTTCATTAGAAGAAAAGTTTTTCTATGAAGATATTGATGAGAGTGAGATTGAGGAAAAGATAACTAGTTTGGTAAATAATATTATCTTTTTTAACTAATTTATTTTTTATATTGTTGTTTTTAAATATATTATTTTATGATCTTTATTTATTCATCTTATTGTTTTATTTTATAAGACTAGTATGGTTAGAGGAGAATGAGGATATGGAGCTTAGTGATGATGAAATGATTTGTTGTGATTTGGGCAAAAGGTAAATGACACTCCTATTGCTATTGGTCTTATTGATGAACTAGGTGATTGTTGAATAGTGTATCACATCCAGCTTTACTACTTTAGTCCTTTTCTAATTATTTATTGGCAATTTAAAAATTGATCATGCATTGTTGTTATTTTGTTGACATTAAATGGTGTGCATTCTCCTTTTGATAATGCTTAAGATGAGCTTCATTTATTTTCATATTTTTTAAGAATAATACAACATTTTTAATAATAATATTCTCAAAATGGTTAGTTTATTACAGAGAAGGTGTTCTTTGGAGGATTGGATGAAAAAACTTTTATCAGATATTAATATTTTCAGAAGTGCCTTAGTAGCAACATTTTTTGAACTGGAAGTTGTTGTGTTTGAGCTGGAAGCTGTTGTGAGGTCTTGTAGGTTTTTCCTTTATGCTTCTTGTAAATGGATGAATATATACTTATACCTTTAACTGTAGCCTATTTTTTTTGTTAGAATTTAATTGTAATTCCACATTAAATTATGCTTCATGGTCTAAATGTGTTTGTCTGTTACAGCATTTGAAAATTTAAATTTGACTATTTTTATAGTTAGAATTTAATTGTAAATCCACATTAAATTATGCTCCATGGTCTAAACGTATTTGTCTGTTACAGATACTGTTTCATCTGAAAATTTAAATTGGTATTAAACTAAATTCGGGTCGGATCAGGTCGGATCGAGTTGAATTCGGGTAAATAATATTCTTAATAGGTCAGGGTCGGGTTTTTTCACTTGAACCTCTGAGCGAGAACGGATTAGATATCGGGTAAAAGCTTTAAGGCTTCGGGTCAGAGACGGGAAAAGCAAAATCTGACCCGCCCCGCCCTGATGCCAACTCTAAGTGGGAGGCCAGTACGTTTTTGGATTTTGGCAAACTAACAAACATAGTTCCCACTTCTCGTGATGACAAATAGAAAAAATCTTAGGAGTTTTTCTCTGTCCATGAACAGTTCATCTTAAAAAACTGAAACAGTTGGCATGAGCTGAAAACCATTTGATGAAGATTCAGGAAAAGATATATATGATGACACATCATTATCAAAGAAAACTTGAAATAAGAGTAAATTTATGAGAGTCTGAGTGTAAATTTTTGCAGTGCTGAAAACAGACAAAGCTGATGGTCCCATTCACATGAGGTAGATATGGCTATCAACATTTCCTACGCAGATGAATTATTTCCATCTAAATCAAAGTCCCCAAAAGAAACAGAAAGTTAGAAAGATTTAGCACTTTCTTTCCTGATCCTGGTTCAACAAATTTGCCCCTTCCATGCATGGTCCCAAGATTGAAGTTTTTTTCTTCTGAAATGTTAAGACAAGATCAATACGAAGCAAAAAGAAGATGCACATTATCCTGGTAGTGAGCAGTGGCCATCCAAGCAGAAACCCAAACAAGCGCTATAGATGCATAACCTTCTAGTAACAAGGAGGTAGAGCTGTGTCACTCTGTTTCTGGCAGATGAAAGACTAAATGGAGACCAGAAAAGGTATGAAAATGACCTGCAGATGGGTACTGACCTCCTTCCTGCTAGAAATTATCTGTTTTCCAATGTACCAAAGGACATTTGAATTATTCAAATCTTCCTAGCTTGATCCAGTTAGAGACCCTTTCAACAAATCCAAAATGGAAACTCTAATTGCAAGTAAAATCTCTTATAATTTTATTATTCAGCTAAATACAGATATTATTTGAACCAAAAATTTGGATAAATAATGAAATGGAGTATATTTTAGTCCAGATGGAACGTTTTCTTGTTTGTATAAAACTACATCGACTAATTATTCCAAAATTTTGATCTTTCAAGAAATCTGATTTTGTTTAACTACAAATGATTGAAACAAGTCAGTTTCAACCATTAAAGAAACTTGAAACTGTCCACATCATGAAGAAAAACAAGGGGAATCTTTTTGTGGGCAGGATGGGGCTTAAGTAAGAAAGCTGAAATATTTCTTAGGCGTTTCAAATTTGAGTTCTACACGACACATGTTCTAAAGATACATAGCCACAAGGATGTTGTTGTCAATCTCATAATTTAAAGGAGAATTGACTCTTAAAAAAATTGTTACTTCATATTTTATAATCTGATCCCTTTTTCTTTGTCTTTTTTTTTTTTTGGGGGGGGGGGGGGGGGGGGTGAACTTTCTTGTATTGGAGGCTTCCTGCAATCCTTTAAGTTTCACTCTACTGTAAATGTCTTTTAATTCACACTCGTGAAACCAGAAAAAAAACAAGGTTATTTTTCTGTGACATGAAGTGAGATGACCCAATTAATTGCTTCTTCTCGTTATTTCTTTTCTTGCTTTTGGTCTGGTTTCTAATTTTGCTCTTCAAGAACTTCAGAAAATACTCACACCATCCCTCTTCCTGCAGGACCAGGAGTCGAGGACCCCAAGCTCCTTTTCATTTGACAAAAAGGCTTAGCTTTGATTTTTAGCGTAAGCTTAATATCAATCTATTGACAAAATATCGGCAAATTGAACATAGTTTTAGGCAAGGTCAGCCAAAGTTTCCAATGTGGTAGAATGATTCTAGTTAATTAAGACACACTGGTAGTTGCAAAGGTTGAATTTTGCAGATTTTGAAGTACAACTATCGACAAAGCAACCCTTGGAACATGTTTGAAACACAAGTATCTTGGTTACCGTCCACAGAACGATGGCTGATCAGCAGTTTTCTTCACAAAAAAAAAAATCAAAAGGCAAAAGTGGAAAGGGGAAGACCAGCATTACAGCAAACTCAAAATTCCCAATTTTGCTTTCACATCTTTACACACACTCCTTTCTCACTACCTCATCAAACAAATTCTTTCTCCTATTCCCCAACATACAAGCAAAAATCAAAGGGTCTTGAGTCTTTACTGCTTTAGCGTTTAAGTTTTTTTCGCTCTCTCCTCCACGGCTTGTACCCAACAATTGACCCCACACAATTCCGTACCATGGCCCGGACACTTGGGACATTTTTGGGTGTACCTTTCCACGTACACATGAACGCAATTTTCCCTTCATTTTATAAAATCCCCCCTCTCATTCCTTGCCTCAAATTGCCTTCAACTTCAAGTGCAACCCAAAAATAAAAAATACTATTAGTTCCCTTCATTTTAGTTCTTTCTGCTTTCACACATATATGAGAGAAGGACCAACAGCTGCAGCAACGGCAAGAAGTAGCAGTTCGTCGAGGGAGAGTATATGTGATGGAGAATCAGGATCTTTCCCCACCCCACGCGGATGCATCTCGACCGTCCCTTGGGTTCCCTCTTGGCACAGCGCTCCTCTTAATCATCATTTTCAGCTTGAGTGGCATCTTCTCCTGCTGCTACCACTGGGACAAGCTCAGATCACTCCGTCGATCCTTCGCCGATGGCACGGATCCCGATGCAGATATCGAAGCATCGCCCTCGAAACCTAAGCCTGAGTACATGGTAAAATTTTTCTCACCCTTAATAAAATTGACATGAGAATTTAACCTTTGCTTTATTATGTTCTTATGAACATGTTAAATAAACAAAGTTTCTTAAACCTCTATTGGGTTTTTCTTGTATCAGGATTTAAGGAAAAACCAAAGCCAAAGTTTTTCTGTCTTAATGCCAGGAGATCAGATCCCAAAGTTCATAGCATTGCCATGTCCATGTGAACCTCCACGCCCAGACAAGGATGAAGTGAAAGTGCAAAAGCCGCCCAAGCCGCCGCGTTTTCCTGCACCATTTTATTAGCAAATTGACAATTTGTTGTACATATTGGACCATTTAATTTTCTTTTTCACTCTGAGTTTTTGGAGGAAAAAAAAAAAGGTGGTTGGGTGTGAAATTTACGATCTTTGGATTCCAGGTAGAACATGGTCAATTTGATAGAAAAGCAAGGATATGGGCTCGTGTAAGTAGGAAACAGAAAATATCTATTCTAGTTCTATCATCAGCTATGGGTTCGAATCTAAGAGAAATTCTAGAGAATGTTTGCTACCCTGAAATTTTCTTGTCTTTCCTGACCGATAAGGAAAAAAAAAAAATTGGGTCAAAAGAAAATGCCATTTTGGAGTTTTATCAACAATTTTCTTGTGTAGGCGGGGATCCGGTATTTTCTGAATCCTTGTGTAAGGAATTACAAAAGAAATTCTTTCAGCAAAGATGTGAATTAGGAAGGATTGGTCGACGAAATATGAACCAGAGACTGAATCTTAATATACCTCAGAACAATACATTTACAGTTTCTGGCAAGCCAAGTGGATTAGGAGTAGTAAATTTATTATGCCATTATTCCCAGAAGGAAGAATATTTCAATTGTGAGTTGGAAAATGAAATGGTTTAATGAAGTTCTTATCCGTTACGGTATTATCCCAAAGTAGAAAACGGAAAAAAAAATGGAAAAGGAATAGATCCAATGTCCTGGTTGAGATTACAGTGCGTAGTTTAAAGATTGTATTTCATTCATTTTACAGACCCTACCTTAATCTCCAATCTAATGCAATCTTTAGTTCATAATTGTTCCAAGATATTAGCTTCCTGGTTTGTTTCTTTTCTTTTGCTTACATTTCCAGTTTGTTTTCAGGCTTTCAGCACTTAATTATAACAGGAAAATTGTTAAAGGCCATTTTCTTGACTATCTGAGTAATTGGCGCATCCAGGATTTTTTTGGATATCTACGTATTATATATAAAAAATTATTAATAAATTTACCAATTTTATAATATGTGGAAAAAATTTTTTTTTTTTCATCTTTGGGAGTGTTCATATAAAAATTTTGGGTGTTCAGTAAAAAATTTTCTTTTAAATTTTGTTATTTTTCAATTCAAGGGTGTCCATGAACACCCTCCACCAAAGGTGGATTTGCTACTGAGCAGAGTAACCAACTTGGGCAATGAAGTTGCTTAATCCGGTGGCCAAGTTCAAACCATTTGTGGTTAGTCCGGTGGAGCCTTGTCTACTATTTTAACCAAGGCTAGAATTAGCCAATGAGAGGCCAACCCTGGCGTTTTTTTATCTTTGGGAAACAAGATAACCTTTATCCGTGGAGAATCAGTGCATGTCTTTGTCAAAAATTAGGCAAACCTGTAAGATTTTTTTTTTTTTTTACTAAATTTCTATTGTAAGGAAACTTACAAGTTAAGCAAAGCACAGTTGCCTTGTTAACGATGATTGATAAGTACATCAGATCTTTTTATAGACAGTTAATTGGCATACAACCCAATTTTTGGTACAGCCCGATTTAGTCTTACATATCAGTTCAAGTTTCTTCATCATCTTCTTGAAATGCAGTCTGTTTTTTTAAACAATTTTTAAGCTTTATATGTTTAGAAACTTGTATTCACATCAGATTGAGATTGATTTCTTATCTTTACAAGTAGGCCCTGTGAATGAGGTGCGTGATTATTGAGCCAACATATCGTAGTTGAAAGGAGCAGAATACATCAAAGCATTGAACCAAACTTCGTGTATTATTCTCAGGCTTACAAAACACAAACAAACAAAAATACCAAGAAACATGGGATGATAGGAAGGATTAAAGTAAAAAATTATGAACCATAGAATGTTAAAGACATGCATGAAATCAGTTTGATGTCATTAATAAAAAAAAAATGATGATATGTTATAAATATAATAAAAAAAATATAAAAATAATAGCACTTAAAAATTTAGTAACAATCGTTTATAAATTTAACATAAATAAAAAAATATATATTTTATCTTTGATAGGTTATCACGAATTATGATGTGATATTTTTATATTTTATTCATGGCAAATATAAAATAAACAACTATAAATAATGAATTGACAGACCCATACATATTCAAAGTGATTTTAAAAATTAAGCTGCTTTCTTTTTCTCTCTCTCTCTTTCCCTCCCTTCGAGTTGCTTTTGATTCCTTCTCGGCACCTTCCCCAGTAGGCCAATACTGCAAAAAAGTTTGTACTGCTTCCGTGATGATATTAGGTTCCAGCAGATGTAGCTTTCAATTTTGCTTATTTTCTTTTCATCAGCAGTTACCAGCACTGTATATTTTTTTTTAATTCAAGTCGATGTATCTTGTTTGTTTCGAGTGGTCACTCTTTTGATGCTCAGACAAAATAGAAATATGATGTCCCCACCCCCCATTTTCTGATTTCCAAACTCATACAAATTTTGGTTAAAAACAAAAATCTTTTATCACTGTTTTCTCTGTACTAACTTTATTACTTAAAAGCATAGATTATTAATTAATCTTTAAAATCCAAACTACCAATTTGTAATTTTCCCAATGAGATTTTTCTCTCCAATTCAATTTTCATTCCTTTCCCTTGTGCTCAACCACCCAAAAAACACAAAAAAAAAAAAAAAGAGATGATTTTGGCCGCCATAAGAGCAGCTTGGTCCATCATCATCATCATCATGTTTCCTAATATTCAAAGAAATTTGAGTGAAAAGTAGGATTTGTAAACGTACGGATGATACCATCAAGTGGGACCCCTTTCTTCACCAAAATCACATGGGGAAGGAGCCTTCCATGGACAATCCGTAGTGGTTTTCAAGTGGTCTTATCCTAACAGTTGGATGATGATGTAACATTCAATTTCTCTCTTTTGTTTTTTAACATCGTTTTCTATAGTTATTCTTAGTGACAAAATTTTATTGTCCTAATCTAAGTGTTTAATCTTTGTTTTAATGATCACTATTTGTTTTAGTAATACAGTTAGAGCATTCTCAATTTCTTCTTTCGAACCTAATTATTTATGACAATCATCTTTAAATTATATTTTTATGTGAATTTAATGTATTTAAAATTTTATTTTTGAAATAATTTTAACAAATAAAGAACCCATCTTTTTATCAATTAAATTAATCTTTTCGAATTAATTGACTGCTAATATAATTAAAGTCGGCCAATTAAAATTAAACAGAATGAAATAGAAGAAATTAGAAAGATTTTGATTGATTTCGATGTCTTAGGAAACAATATTAGACATGACCAACATGCATAATTATTCTCAAATGCACTTCAACGACCTTTAATGGTGGATTCAAATGCACTTTTGATTAAGGAAAAAAAATGCTTCAAAGTCTTTCAACTAATCACTAAACTGAAAAACTGGCTTAGCTTTATTCTCAATGCTTTTTTACTTTTGTAATTTTCTTTACTAGATGTGTAAATTTACTTGTCCATCACTTCAAAATTGTTTCATGCGATGTTCATATAACAATAGTGAATTAAATTATGTTTTTTTTGGAATAAATATTAAATTTATCATTATATTATGACTCAATATTAAATTTTGTTACAAAATTATTTCATACATAATTGATGAATCTACCAACATGATTGAAGGAATATAACATACTGCTTTATTAAGATATATTTGAAATAATTAATAAATTAGCATAGTAAATAAAATAATTTGAGATGATATTCGAATCATGTTTGTGAAATCTGATTACTTCATTGATGGTGTCTAAAATAATAATTCTTTTAGCATTATACTTCAAATTGCATTAAATTTTGTTACCATAGTTCATTAGATTGATTTTTGAACAAAATTATCTAAAAATCAATGAAATAATTCATGTAGCTAGCTAGTTAAATCTTTCATATCTCTTCTTTTTTTTTTTTTTTCTCAAAATACATTAATACCAAGAAATAAAACAAAAACCCCTTTAAAAAGTGACAAATAATAATTTAAAATTTAAATTCTAACATTTATATTTTTTTTCTTTTATTTTTATGCTGCGAACTTTTATGGAAAAAAATTCATTTTAGGTTACATTTGAAAAAGGGACAATAGAATACCCCAAATCAAGAAAAGAAAGGTGAGGATTTTGGCTTCGCTTCTTGAAGCTGATGTTGATATAGTAGGGTACTGAAAGCACAACTGCTCAAGAAATCATTCAAGCATGGCTAGCTACTCACATGAAGAGTAGTGGTTGTAGTGGAAATCCCTATAAAAAGTTATATATAGATATATATCTTCAAAAGCATAATGAAAAAATTTTCTTCATTTTCTTTTTTTTTTCTTTCTTCAATTTTTATGATATACGTAGTGGAGTAGCTAAAACAAATAGTTTTTTATATAAAAAATTTAGATGAAAAGAGGTTATTTCATTTAATTATTAAAACATATAATAGGTCTTAATAAGAATTTACATTAAATTATTGATCATTTAGTAAGAAAGATTGCTGTTACCAACAATCAAATCTAAAGTTTGCAAACGAATTATTCGATTATTATTAATTTAATTAAAATTTGCTTTAAAACAGGTATTTTGATTCACCTAAATTTAAGCTCAAAACCACTCAAATTGCTTTTTGATGTCAGCCTGGGGATAAATTAATTAATATTATTTTAGTGACCATTAGGAGATAGATTGATCACTTAATTTAACTTTTGATGTAGGGTAAGCTTTTTAGTGGCCAAATAATCCCAAAATTAGGTACATAATTGTCTTTTTTTGCAGCTTTTCATCAAATATTATATTATTAATGTTGTTGTAAGAAAAAAAAGATCATCATTGTTTCAAGTTGCATGGGCTAAGGTATTAGTGGATGCTTACTTCAACATATGTTACTTGTAATATTATATTTATTCCTTATATTTTTGTCTTTCTTTTAATCTCTTATCTTATCTAGATGATAAGATAAACAATGCTTAAGACTATGGATTATGTTTTTTTCTTAGGGTGTTTATCTTGTTAGGCAAAAAGTTTCAATCCAATCACATTAGAGAAAGTGAAATCAAATAATTAATCAATTAATCACACAAGAGATAATATCTTAATGTGGTTCGGTCCAATCGATCTACATCCACAAATAGAAAATAAAATTCACTAGTTGTAGAGAATTACAAACATACAAATCATATCAATTTTACTTAACAATCAATACTAATAAGACCGTCTCAATCTACTATGATCTTTTAGATATTCTCAATCCAAACAAACACATATTTATGTACACAATTTCAACAAAAATAAATACATACCCATATATACCAATTTATTATACCTATATTAACTCTCTCAGCATTCTCTAGTTTACTTATAAATATACAAA